ATGGTTAGATCTATGATGAGTTATTCGAGGTTACCAGATTCGTTTTGGGGAATGGCGCTGGAAACAGCATCGTACATTCTGAACTTGGTTCCATCGAAGTCAGTTGATACTACTCCTTACGAATTGTGGAAAGGGCGTAGGCCAGGCTTTTCACATATTCGGGTATGGGGTAGTCCTGCACACGTGTTAGTGCAGGAACCTGGCAAGTTGGAGAAACGTTCGGAAGCACGAGTTTTCGTAGGCTATCCCAAGGAAACGAAAGGTGGATTATTTTATAGTCCCGGGGATCAGAAGGTGATCGTTTCGACGAACGCTAGATTCTTGGAAGAAGACTATATTATGAATCATAAGCCCGCGAGTAGACTAGTCTTAGAGGAGTTAAGGGGTGAAAGCGATGGTTCCCCACCGAGTGCGCAAGTAGATACATCACATAATACTGCAACACGACACACTGAGAGTGTACCAGTGCAGACAGTGCCTCGTCGCAGTGGGAGGGTTTCTCATTTACCCGACCGATGGATAGGTCTTGGAGAGTCGTCAGACTCAGTTCCAGGAGGCCTAGAATCGGACCCAAGAACTTACGATGAGGCACTCCAAGATAAAGATGCAGATTCATGGAATGTTGCAATGAAAGCTGAAATGGGGTCAATGGACTCCAATCAGGTCTGGGATCTTGTAGAACTACCCGATGGGGTACGACCCATTGGATGTAAGTGGATCTATAAGAGAAAGAGAGGATTGGATGGGAAGGTGCAAACCTTTAAAGCTAGGCTTGTTGCGAAAGGTTATACCCAGATCGAGGGTATTGATTATGATGAGACCTTTTCGCCAGTAGCTATGCTTAAGTCCATTCGGATTCTCTTGGCTGTAGCCGCTCATATGGACTATGAGGTCTGGCAGATGGATGTCAAGACAGCTTTCCTTAATGGGAACCTGCAAGAAGACATCTATATGCAGCAACCAGAGGGATTCATTGCTGAAGGTCGTGAGCATCTAGTGTGTAAGCTTAATCGGTCTATTTATGGACTGAAGCAAGCTTCGAGATCTTGGAACATCCGTTTTGATGAGGTGATCCAGTCGTACGGGTTCACTCAATGTCCGGATGAGCATTGTGTTTACAAGAAAATCAGTGGGAGCGTGGTGGTGTTTCTTGTGCTTTACGTAGATGACATACTGCTTATTGGAAACAGTAAGAAGGAGTTATCAGACGTAAAGGTGTGGTTGTCTAAGCAGTTTGATATGAAGGACTTAGGTGAAGCAGGACACATTCTTGGTATTAGGCTCATTAGAGATCGTAAGAAGAGAATGTTGTGCTTATCCCAGTCTTCATACATAGATACTGTCTTGGCCAGATTCAGCATGCAGGATTCCAAGAAAGGTATGTTACCTTTCAGACATGGAATACCTCTATCTAAGGAGATGTCTCCTAAGACGTCTAAGGAGATAGAGGAGATGAAGACAGTTCCTTATGCTTCGGCAGTAGGAAGTCTCATGTATGCAATGCTATGCACAAGGCCGGATATTAGCTACGCCGTTGGCATGGTAGCTAGATATCAAAGTAATCCAGGACGGGAACATTGGTCTGCGGTGAAGCATATACTCAAGTACCTGAGAAGGACTAAGGAGTACATGTTAGTTTACCGTGCAGGCAGCTTGTTACCTCTGGGTTACAGTGATTCCGATTTCCAGTCAGATAAGGATGAAAGTAAGTCAACCTCAGGTTATGTGTTTACCTTGGGAAGTGGAGCCATTTCATGGAGGAGTGCTAAGCAGAAATGCGTGGCAGACTCCACCATGGAAGCCGAGTACATAGCAGCCTCAGAGGCAGCGAAAGAGGCAGTTTGGCTCAGGAACTTCTTAGTGGACTTAGAGGTTATACCGAGTTTGCCACGTGGTATCACCGTGTACTGTGATAACAGTGGAGCAGTAGCGAACTCAAAAGAACCTCGAGCCCACAGGGCAAGCAAACACATAGAGCGCAAATACCATCTGATTCGGGATATCGTTGGTAGAGGAGACGTTGATGTTGCCAAGATTGCATCAGAGGATGCATGGCAATAGGATCGACATAGGTCTTTTAGAATAACGGATTGATAGGACTATACTGTAAAAGCGAAAGCTTTAAGTATAAGTGGGAGATTGTTAGTGTTATATACTGAAAGCTTGGCTTTGCATGTTATTACACATTTACCCTTTATGAATGAGAATCATGTTAGATTAAACAAGTTCTACGTTCTGTTGTTCTGCACTTAGATAGGGTGGGTCGTCATCGGGCGAACCGAAGATCACTCTATCAGTCACTTGCGAACAAGAATAGTTGTTCACAACCTAGATGGACATGAACACCCCATCCGAACGGTTGTAGTGTCAACTGTACAGTTTGTCTTGACTGATTAGTTGCACTAGTACATTTATGTATTGAACAGGATCCCAGAGAGGAGAAGTTCATTTTATACTGATCGTCGTAAATGAACTAGGCCTCGGTTAATTACTGCGTTCTCTTAACCCGTAAGATATTAAACAGGCAGATATATATAATATATATTACTTTGATTCACATGGGTGAGGTTCAGTTCGCTGGATTAATATTCCTACTGTTTTGGGTAATATTATTATATATAGGATGTGCTGTTAGGATATTTACGGTCACCATGTGCGTTAGTTTGATGATGTCCCCGGAGTGAGTTCATGAAGGATTGTTATGCTAAACCCTGCAGGTGGATTAAATTCCGGCATAATAAGAATGTGATGAACGAGCGCTAGCTTCGGTGAAATAATAATAAATTAATTAATTCTTGATTGTCAGTAATCGAATTAATTAATGGACATTATATCTTAAACGTGGGGAGGTAAATCGAGTAATTATTATTGGAGTCTCAAATGTAATTTGGGCTAGGGAAAGGGAGTGCAATAATATAATGTTGGTGGCCCATTAATATTATTTAATTAATTAGAGGAGTGGGTTTGGCCCACAGTTAGTCTAATTAATTAAGGAGCCCTTTTCCTAATCTCCTTAGGGTCCCTACTGTAGCTCTATATATACATCATTAAGCTCATGAGAAGAGAATAGAATTCATTCTCACGTGAAACACGCCTCTCTCTCTAGATCTCATTCGAGCTTTATCTTCTTCTTGTTGCTCCACTGGTACAAGTTGAAGAAGGGTGTATTGAGTAATACAGTAGAAGATCTGTAGGTAAACCGAGACGAAATTGATTTTGACCTACAGAACTAACCGGAAGTCCGATTGAGACGTACAGTATACCCAGACGACCGTCTCGACGAGAGCTTTCCATCGCCGCCGACGTCGCCGGAATCCGACGCCGCACGCGCCCTCACGCGCCGCCGGAAGGTGTCTGGCAGCAAAATTTCGTTTTGATCTGTTTGCATCCGTTTGATCCAGTTTTGATCTGATCTTGTTCGTGCAACCCAAGACGCGTGTTGCGGTCAATCAATTGCGGTCAACCGTTCGTGGTCAACCAGATCTACATAAATTTTAAGCCGTAAGTTCTCTACGTCAAACCTTTAGATCCGCTGCGCATAGGTTTACGTTTGCTATTGAATTCGTGATTTGTACATAACGAGATCCTCACAGATCCCAACAAGGGTCTCATCTGTGCCCATGTCTTTCCTTCTTGCCTCTTCATTGAATAAGGCATCATTGACAACAGACATGGAAAGTTTGCCATTTGAGGCTGAATTGCTGAGAGTAACAACGAGTGTTTCCCAGCTATTAGAAAGGTAACCAAGAAGTAGCAGAGATTGCATTTCATCTCCAAGTGGCATCTCCACATAAGATAGCTGATTTACCAGGCTCTGGAACTCACTGGTATGCTCGGCAATAGAAGTTCCACTTTTCAACTTCATATTGACTAAGCGCCTCATCAATAAGGCCTTATTCCGAGCGGTCTTGGCCTGGCACATGTCCTCTAGCTTCTTCCAAAGGTCATATGCATCAATTTCTTGTGCAACATGATGGACGACACTATGATCTATCCATTGTCAGATTTGACCAATAGTTTTTCTATTGATTTTCTTCCATTCTAATGCCTTGGACGGGTCAGGGTTAATACCCTTCAGCTCTATTGGGTCAAAGAGCTCTTTACAGCTGAGGAAATCTTCTATTCGAGGTTTTCAAAGCGTATAAATGGTAGCCGTGAGCATAATCATAGCTCCAGAAGATGAAGTTGACTCTTCCATGGCCATTTTACACCTTCAATGCTCTGTTTAGGACAAATCGGAGCTGTATTTTGAAAAATAGACAGCACCGTTGCGTCCAGAACAGTCGAAAATGGGGGAGGGGGCTCTTTTATCCGGTGATGATGTGGCAGTCAACGGATGACGTGGCAGTTGACTGGGCTGATGTGCAGTTGACTGGGACTGCTGACGTGACAGTGACTGGACCCTCTTTGTTGGCGTGTCAGGTGACTGGACTACTGACGTGTCAGATGACTGGAGTGCTTATTTGGCAGGTGACTGGGCGTTCCTCGCTGACGTGGCGATGACGTGTCAGATGATGTGGCGACGCGTCATCATCTTCTTCCTCAGATTTTTTTTTTTTTTTTTTTTTTTTTTTTTTTTTTTCAGAACTTCAGAAGGCTATTCCGGACAGCTCCGATGTCCGTTTTTCGTCCGTAAATTACCGCCGTGACCGTCTCGACGAGACGAATCTAATAGTGTCCTCGGAATTGAATTTGAGCACAACTCAGAAACTCAAAATTTCTACAGAATCTCAAAAAATTTCAAAATTAAGCTCGAAAGCTTCAAACCAAGCTCTGATACCACTTGTTGTGGTATCATCCCAAGATCATACTCATAATTGAGAGAATAATAAGTTTCTATTACTCACAAGAATAAAAACAAGAGATTTAAAAACTCTAAAAAAAACTTCCAAACTCTACTTGGTTGTGTTTCAACAATCTCAAGGTTGATTGATCACACTCTAGGATGATTTGAATGAATGAAATGAGGACTCTATGTATAGATACAAGAAAGCACACCATTATTGACAAAATGGTGTGAAATGAGAAGGTTTGGTGGAAGGTGGAGGGCTAGCCGTCTTCTTCATTGGTGTGCTGCAGTTATTCTTCATTGGTGTGCCTTCCTGCTGCATGGAACTATCACGGGCTGCACCTGCCGCAATCTTAAGCCTCGTGCTCTAACTCAACGGCTTCTGGCCGGCCTCTAAATCTGAATATTTATGTTAACCAAAAAACTGCAAACAGAGGATTTGCAATCATGATCATAATATTTATGTAAAATTTACCAAACAAGTGATTTTCAAGGCTGCCCATAGGCATGAACTCATAAACGAGCAGCCTCTGGTTGCCATCCGTGTAGTAGCCGATCAAGTTGACGAGGTTTGGGTGGTGGAGAAGGCTAAGCATGAGAACTTCCACTATGAATTCATGATTCCCCTGAAAGCCTTCCAGATTGAGCTGCTTCACTGCAACAATCTAATCACCCGAAAATCAGCTGATTTAAAACGGGCCAAACGGTCCCTGTTCTATGCTTTCGGATAAATTTTTAAAATCAATTGGAAAAAAAATGACCTTCCCGGATTCTAGGTAGCCCTTGTACACGCTACCAAAACTGCCTTCACCAATTAAATTTGCTTCTCGGAAATCCTCAGTGGCCCGAGCAAGTTCCTTTAGCGTGAAGCTGCGGGCCGTGTGGCCTTTTTGTGAATTGTTGTCCTTGCTGCCTTTGCCTCTAATGGAACTTCCACTTTTCGGAATATCATTGAACAAATTTCAGAAGCACGCACAAATAATAACAGTTAGCAGATATAACTTATCACGATAATTTTTTTTTATTTTTTTTAATGAAGAAAGATTCGAACTTTGGTTTCACTAATCTTGCTAACTTACCATTTTTTACGATGCACGTCTTTCGCCTTGCACCGACTGCACGCACGAGGATTGAACGAGCATTATGCCTTCGGATTTGAGATCAGAATCGAATATTTTGTGCAGAAACAATTTTATTTTTGATGAAATGAAATATAATATAAAACCTGATGTTGCAAGGGATTTTAGGGTCATCTCCTCATGGAAACCAATTAGGAGATTATGATTAATTGATTATGGGTCATGCAAGGAAAGCAACTCATCTCTGTTGGTCAACCTTCTTCTTTTTTTCAAGGAGAAAAAAAAAGAAAAGAAAAAATGTATTTTTTTCTTAATTATTATTTTTCCTCGCAAAAAAATTGATCCCCCAAATAACACCAAATACCACAAGACTCAGAACCTTAGGAAGCCATCACAAGAGATCAATAACACAAACAATTAACAATCTCTGGTGGGAGATTGTTAACAACGTGTATTTTGTCTTGTCAAAATGTCAAACCCTAAAATCCCATATAATAAGAAACATAAAAAGCAAAAAAGTGATCCCTTTCTCACCACACTTACAGAAATCCATGCGCAAGAACATAAAATCACCACAAACCTCAAGAGGCAAAAAACAGCCAAACAATTTCACATACTAAAAACAGGATGTCAGAACATAGAACATACTGAACCACTTTCAAATTCAACAATAGAATTTAAAAAGGAAATTTACATACAAGAATTTCTGGGGCATTTTTTGCCAAATACCAATAAATCATTTTTGCTGCCAGGTTTTTAAGTTCATATTTATGTTTTATGAGATGAAAGTGCTACTGTAGCAAAAATTATGATAAAGCTAATTTTTATAAGATGAAAGTTAGGAGCTTTTCATTCGTGTCCATAAATCTATTTAAAAGAAAAGGTGCATAAATTTTACATTACCCGTTGGACTAATTAGTAATTACCCATTTAATACAAATCAAAGCTGCAAAAGAGGAAGAATAGTTCATGCATACCAAAGGGATGTGCAGTTACATTAGTTTTGGTCCGAAATAAGGAAAAAAAAAAAAGGAAATTCTCCATGGATTGATCAATAGAAAGTTACATATTGTAATTGAATACAAATACATTTTGATACTTCAATAAATCATAGGTCCTAAGCAAATTAATAAGATTTTTCCTGCTCCTGCTATCCAAGTTCCTGAGTTCAAGCAAATCTTCAGCTACACCTAAAATAATATCAGATACAAACCTGTACAAGCTGTGCCCTAACCTCCTCCAATCGTATCATACTAAACAAGACGAAATGACCCTTTTCTCGACAAATAAAAAAAAGTAGTATTCAGAGTTGTAATGCTAAATCCGGCTGTTGAGGTGAACCAATTTGTAAGCTACCAGAACTAGGCGAGCCTGCCGGAACTCTCACATTCAGATCAGGAGGCACACTCGAAACTTTACTGTTAATACTGTTATTAATATTGTTATTGTCACGTCTTTGTTGCATGATCTCATGAGAAGACGGTTTACCTTGTGCGTCCATTTGATATCCAGGTGGCAAGCTATTATTCCTAATCCCCACCAACTTAGCTTGCTCCCTAACGACATTATTCATCAACATCGAGTGACTCGATGACAAGTCGCACCCAAATTCTGATTTCACCTTTCCGGAACCTTCCAGAATGGGATTTCCATCAAAACCGTTTACCTTCAAATTTTTCTGAGGTGGAATTTGAGGTCCCCATGAGGGGCCGTTGGGCTTGCTTGATATGGAATTCGCAATGAACGATTTATTATTGGTGTCCACTGAAAAAGACGATGTTCGTGAAGGGACTTCTTTTTCACCAACCCAGCCAGGCCCGTATTGTACTCCGGCAGGTAGAACGGCTTCTATCTTCCTTGATGCAATTTTCCAGGCTACAGGGCCGAGATTTGCTGCGTATCTAGCTAGGCTTCTTGCGTAAGCAAGGGCTTCATGGAGACCTACCTGTAAAGCTCAAAAACGGATATGATTAACGAGATGCAAATTGCAGGAGTTTATTAAAAGATACAGTCATCGTTTTACAGAATTATAAGTAACGGCTTCATTGATAACTACGCTAAGAGCGGCAACAATGATCAAGGGGTATTTTGTAACCTCCAAAGAGGCTAATTTGTTTGTTTGTTTGTTTGTTTGTTTGTTTCTTCTTTAGCACGGAGAATCCCAAGAAAATCATTTCTAAACATCAGTCACTCACTTATTGCCAGTGTGCAAAGGAGTTACCTTGATATCATTTTAAGAAAAATAAATTTACTTTAGCCACATTCTACAAACTTGCCTTGGGGAATTCTACAGCCCATGAGAGAATAGTTAGATGTACAAATTCTTGAAAATGCGTACCGGCACTAATCGCTTCATATTTCCACTAGAATTTGCCAAAACAAGCGGATTGTGGCCTGAAGACAGCAAAAGAGATTGTTTGTAGGTGTCACGCCTGTTTTCATCCACTGTGAAATGTTTTTTCCCATATTTCATGTCAGCTCTCAAAATTGATGCTGCAAGTAACCAAAAAAAAAAGTAAGGTTAAAATTTCTACTGAAGGATAACGATATAACTGTGGAACGACCGAAAGCAATGAATGAGCAAATACCTGGAAATTCATTATGCCAGTCAATCGACCATTCAGAGTGGTTTTCACCATTTCTTGAACCATAAGATGACAACACATATGGATCTGCAGACCTAAGCCTAAATAATGCGGGTCCCTTCCTTAGATTGTAAGAACTGGACCCATTTGCTTTATCTTCTACTTTAGCAAGAGTTGCACCCGAAGAAAGCTCAGTGGCAACACGATCAGCAGGGGATGTTTCAACAGCCTTTTTCTGATTCTTGCTGTTGGGTGGCCTCCCTCTCCGTATGACCTTGGGCTCACCTTCATGTCTAAGATTATCGAAATCTCTCTTTGCAAGGTCTTGTATACTTCGTGCCTGATATAGCCGATTATTCAGAGAAAAAAAAGTTAGGAAGATCAGAGCACTGAAAAATGAAAAAAAAAAAAAAAAGATAAAAGAGAACCAAGGATTTATTATTTGGACCTGGCGATAGTAGACAGTGTCTGCAGAATTATACTGCATGGCATTTGAACATATCAAAAGCACATCGGTCTGAAATCAGAATAGACAGAAAAGTCAGATTAACTACATTGAACAAAATCATGTAGTGGCACAAGGTTGACTCGCATAAAATAGCCAAAAGTAGCACATTCTACATCATCTGAAACATTCACAAAAGTTGAGTAAAAGCAGTACATCATTAACAGAAGCCCCACATTTTACATCAATGTAAACCATGGAGATGATAACATATTAGCTGAATAATGGAGAAAAATATATTTTCACAGCATATGGTTCAACACAATGAATGGATTGTTCTTAGTTGATAACTGATTTTGGCTATTGCTCTCTAAGGAGTTAATATGCAAGCTCCAGGCTCTATGCTATATCTTGAAGAGAAATGCAAGTATAAACAATGTCTTCCACGCCCTTTAACCTTCATTTATTCTTTATCCTTTCTAGTGCAGAACATGATATGAGTATATGGCAATATGTTCACTTCATTGGCCAGTCACTATCTAGTGGAGCATATGTTGCAAGACAAGAGCAGAAGAGGCACGATCAGATGCTCAATGTGTCGAGACCTACTTTCCAGCATATTCACCAATTTTATAATCATTTCTTTTATTCAAAACCCTAACAAAGTAGTTTAACACACTTCTTAGAGGATTCGCGGAGAGCCCTAAAAGTCAAAAGAGAACATGGCTCAAATATTGTACACAATAAAAAATAATCCAAGTCCAAGAGATGCCACAGAGAAACCAAACAATCACTTTAATCCATTTTCAGGAAGGATGTGTTCAAGAAAATATGGAATCAAGGGGGCAAAAGTACGATAAGTAGATACATAATAGTCTTTGTAAAGTACAATAATGCATGGAAAGTGAGCAGAGGTATTATTCAAGTTTCTTAAAAAATCAAAGCATACCAAAAAAACTACAATTAAACCATTTGGTCCATTTCAATTACCATAAATCATACAAAATGAAGACAAACAAGTAATAATTACAGGTTTACAAAAAAAATTCCATGTCATATTGTTCAAAATTAACCTCCAACTCTTCCAAGTTCTTGTAAGCTCCATTGTCGAGTTTCTTTCTCACCGTACCAAAATCCATAGGTTGCTCTATTATATCAAAATAATCAGGTAGCTGCAAGCATAATCCCAAGTCAGCAAAGGAATAAATTATAGCATTTTTATCTTTCTATGAAGATGGCATCACCTCATTTGGATCCACAGGCTCAGAGAAAACACCGTACGTATCCTTTCTGAATCAACACGCACCAAATATTTAAACTAAAAGTTATGGACTGACAATGGGAACCAATATACAAGAGCATCATGCAAAGACATGAAAGAAATCTAAAACAAGTATACAAGAAACACATACTTCTGGAGCCTGTCAAGAATGAATATCAACAACTTTTTTTCTGGCAAAGGAGTTCCGGGACCAGACTCCAAGGGTGACCCTGTCCACATAAAAACAAAATCAGATAACCATTTGGATCAAAACACTAACCAAAATTTTCAAATACATTTCCCAAGAAAATTGCGCTTTTCTTTTATCTTTCATGCTAAACACCAGTAAGGGCTGGGGGTAGACCTTGTACATAATTGTCTATCTCTTTCACAACCTCTTTTTCCTGGAATAAACATTAGTAAGAAAACATGAAACGAACATTCAAAATAAACAAATTACATAAAAACAGTAAAAGAAACAACAGCAACAACAAGCATATATGCAAAAATTACCCCTACTACTAATCAACATACAGGTACAGAAAAGAAAAATCAAAACCTTTTTAAATCCACAATTCATCGCAAACAGATGAGAAATATACACTTGAAGATAGGACGGTCTACATAATTACTGTCCAAATAAAGTTATAACCAAGTGCAAAATAAATTCATTCAAACCCAGATTCGTAAAACACAAAAATAAAATAAAATAGAATCTGTGGTATATTTCTGTAACGCAGTTGACTAAGTCAAAAAATTTAGCACCCAATACTACAGATCTGTTCAGAAACCAGAGCAGCTAAAAAGTAAACAAGATAAAAGGGACAACGCCAATAAATTCGCTTGCTTTTTCGCGCGAAATCCCAAAACCCACTTTCAAAATCTCCTAATTAAACCCCCAAATATTTCGCCACCGCCATAATTCCCAATTGGAAAAATTTACTCTCACCCCCAAAATTTCAAGGAGCTCAAGGCATAAAAGGAAAAACAAGGGAACGAAAAAACGGAAACTTGATTATTCAAAGGTAATCCAAATTCAAACATTTTCCCCCAAATTTCAGAAGAACCACCGAGGGAGGCCCGTACCTGATCCGAACCCCCGTCGTCAGATCCATTATCAGCGCCGTCAACCTTGCGCTTCTTCGCGCACCCCTCTCGATCCTCCAACCCCATCTCCGACTCCGAACCTGAACCCGATCCGGAACCCGAATCCAATTCCCGGCAATGCTGCTGCCTCTTCCCTTCAGCCCTAACACCCTCATCCGACTGAGGGAGGCGAACGACGAGCTTGACCTTCTTCTCCTTCCGTTCGTCGTCATCGTCTCCTCCGTCGAATTCAGGCTGCGGCGGCCAATTGGGATGATTAGGGTTCCGCCGGGTGGATCGGCGGCTGGTGGGGTTGGAGGCGGAGGGTTTGGGAGGGGTGGAGAGAGGGGTACGGTTCTTAGACGGGCGGCCTTTCTTCTTTCTCGTCGTCTCCGGCGTGGCTGCGGCGATTGGTACCTTACCCATTTCCGGTGGGACTGGGAGCCTCGGGCACGAAGAGAGAGAAAGAGAGATGCTTTTTCTTTCTTTTTTGTTCTCTTTTGTTTCTTGTATTGAACTACAGTAAAATGTTGTACTGTTATTTTCCTACACGGTGTCGTTTCGTGTAAATATAAGAGCGTGTACACCTTTTTCTTGCACAGTTTTTTTCCGAAAATATAATTATTAGGCCAATTCATTTTTTTTTACTACGAATAAACATTATGGAAGGATGGATTAAGGAATGATTCTCAACCTGTATTGGTAACGCAAAACACTCCGGCTTGAAATCAGCTTGTCTCTTTCTTCCTCGCCGGTAGAACGCCGCGTTCCTGCACAGAACTCTCACATCGGAGGGGTTTTCCGGTGAAGAGCCTCCGATGCTTAAGTCAGTATGTGTTTGTTCAATTTTCCAAAGTAAAGAATGGATAAATCGTAAGTCACAAGAAAAGACCCACTCCCATATATATAGGAGTGAGATACCTGCCCTAAAAACTGCTCGGCTTTGGCGAACTGTCCTGCCCGTACTGCCCGTCTGTACACACATAGTGTGTGTGTGTGTCAGAGATGTCAGGGGTGGCTTTCGCCACTATCACTCTGCACCAATATATTCTCGCCACGTGTCCCTCTGAGCTGAGGGAGATTATTCCTCTGCGCAGGCCGTTGGGATCTTCCAACGTCATCCACGCGCCTTCTCGCGTTCACGCCACGCTCTAGACTGCTCTTCACCTGTTGAGTGCTCGATCTTCTCCCCTTTGGTCGATCCTCGATCAGTTCTGCTATTCTACTCGATCTCCTCGATTCTGGTCGATCCGCAACCAGTTCTGCTATTCTGCTCGATCTTCTTCCTTTTGGTCGATCCTCGACCAGTACTACTATTCTGCTCGATCTTCTTCCTCTTGGTCGATCCTCGACCAGTACTGCTATTCTGCTCGATCTCCTTCTTTTTGGTCGATCATTCTTCTATCAATCCGGTTTTCTCCACTTCGAGGTTGCTTGACCGATGATGCAAACCGGTCCATTCCTCAATTATATAATATCCCATATCATCTAGTCCCCACCACTCTGGTCGAGTCTGAATGACTCGATCTAAGAGTGGATTCGAGCTGTCCTCCTCATTCTATCCATCCTCTCGATCTCCCACTCGCACCTGGCCTCTTCTCTCGATCATTTTTGTTGATGTTGCTGCCTTTCCTCGACCACGTGGTCCATTTTAATGCACACTATAACTGTTGTTTATTTCCTTTTATTATCAGCATAATCTCCGCCTGCCATATGTCCTTTCCGTTCAGTTCCTTTAATCATCGCACCTCCTCGCGATTTGTGTCTCTTCGTTATCTGCGCCTCTTTAATTTTTTCCACCGTTAGATCTTCTTTTATCCAACGGTCATATCCCCTAACTCTTCACTTATTCATTTGTACTCGTATAAATGCGGCACTTAGCCACTTTTTTCGCTTTCCTCACTTTTGCAATTTCGAACTCCCTTGCACTCTAATTTCTTTCTCTGCAAATTCCTCTTTCCTGCACTCGGCGTCTTCTCCAGCAATTTCCGGCCACCACTTCTCTACTGCAACCATGAGTAAGTCTTCTGTGCTTCAATTTTATATTTGCGTGCATTTATTTTGTCAATTTTCAATTTTTCCTGCTACTTCTTCTTTTTCCCAAATCCCTTTCATCTCGTCTATGGCAAAAAGGAAACTCCTTCTTCGCTTTCGAAAACCCTAACTTCATTTCTCTTCCCCTCACTTCTTCATTCTACTTTTTCAGATTCCGCTGACACTAACTCACCGAGCCACCATTCTGCCGAAGACAAGATTGCCACATCATTTTCCTGTGCTCGTCGGCCTATTCCTCATTCGCCTTCCCGTTCCGTCGAAGAAATCTACAATCCCGCTCCTATCAGTGTTCTACGCCCTTCCGAGTACGCCACACCTTCTCCTCCTCGCCAACCTACTCGTCTGATTGATGAATCGGACGAGGATGCCCTTGACCATATCCCTCTCAATCGCCGTCGACCGGCGTTTGGGGCCTCTGATGTCTTTGAAGAGGCTCTTGATGCCGCTGCTGAGAAAGACGAAGATAATATTCCCCTTTCTCGCCATTCTGTTTTTGCTCGGGCTACCTCTTCCCCTAACCTTAAGAAGGGTAAGTCGACCAAGGCGTCTACTGTTAGTGTTATATACTGAAAGCTTGGCTTTGCATGATATTACACATTTACCCTTTATGAATGAGAATCATGTTAGATTAAACAAGTTCTACGTTCTGTTGTTCTGCACTTAGATAGTGTGGGTCGTCATCGGGCGAACCGAAGATCACTCTATCAGTTACTTGCGAACAAGAATAGTTGTTCACAACCTAGATGGACATGAACACCCCATCCGAACGGTTGTAGTGTCAACTGTACAGTTTGTCTTGACTGATTAGTTGCACTAGTACATTTATGTATTGAACATGATCCCAGAGAGGAGAAGTTCATTTTATACTGATCGTCGTAAATGAACTAGGCCTCGGTTAATTACTGCGTTCTCTTAACCCGTAAGATATTAAACAGGCAGATATATATAATATACATTACTTTGATTCACATGGGTGAAGTTCAGTTCGCTGGATTAATATTCCTACTGTTTTGGGTAATATTATTATATATAGGATGTGCTGTTAGGATATTTACGGCCACCATGTGCGTTAGTTTGATGATGTCCCCGGAGTGAGTTCATGAAGGATTGTTATGCTAAACCCTGCAGGTGGATTAAATTCCGGCATAATAAGAATGTGATGAACGAGCGCTAGCTTCGGTGAAATAATAATAAATTAATTAATTCTTGATTGTCAGTAATCGAATTAATTAATGGACATTATATCTTAAACGTGGGGAGGTAAATCGAGTAATTATTATTGGAGTCTCAAATGTAATTTGGGCTAGGGAAAGGGAGTGCAATAATATAATGTTGGTGGCCCATTAATATTATTTAATTAATTAGAGGAGTGGTTTTGGCCCACAGTTAGTCTAATTAATTAAGGAGCCCTTTTCCTAATCTCATTATGATCCCTACTGTAGCTCTATATATACATCATTAAGCTCATGAGAAGAGAATAGAAGTCTCATTCACACGAGATACACGCCTCACACGCCTCTCTCTCTCTCTAGATCTCATTCGAGCTTTATCTTCTTCTTGTTGCTCCACTGGTACAAGTTGAAGAAGGGTGTATTGAATAATACAGTAGAAGATCTGCAGGTAAAACGAGACGAAATATATTTTGACCTACAGAACTAACCGGAAGTCCGATTGAGACGTACAGTATACCCAGACAACCGCCTCGACGAGAGCTTTCCATTGCCGCCGACGTCGCCGGAATCCGACGTCGCACGCGCCCCCACGCGCCGCCGGAAGGTGCCAGGCAGCAAAATTTCGTTTTGATCTGTTTGCATCCGTTTGATCCAGTTTTGATCTGATCTTGTTCGCGCAACCCAAGACGTGATTTGCGGTCAATCAATTGCGGTCAACCGTTCGTGGTCAACCAGATCTACATAAATTTTAAGCCGTAAGTTCTCTACGTCAAACCTTTAGATCCGCTGCGCATAGGTTTACGTTTGCTATTGAATTCGTGATTTGTACATAACGAGATCCTCACAGATCCCAACAAGTGGTATCAGAGCACTTGGTTAATTCGTTTTGTACAAAGTTCAAATTTTTACGGCTTTATTTGACAAGATGTGTTCAAACGCAGCCATATATTCGATTATATTTGCATAATTCGGTTTTGCAGGAAAATAGTTAATCCACTATTATGGCCGATTATGTGTTTGATGAATGTTGTTGAATGTGATGTATGGTTTTAAATTTGTTTTTAAAGCCTCGGGTATGTCGAGGAATTTATGGATGAATGTTTGTAATAATTATTCGCCCGGGGGTTGACCGGATAGATTTAATTATTTGTTTAGAAAACGTGTACATCCATTCGTTGGATCTAGGATCGAATTATGTAATTTTGTAAATTATATTTTTCGTGTTGTGATCGTGTGTTGATAACCGGGAGATCACAAGAGATCAACGAGCCTCGAAGAATAAAAATTAAAATTTGCTTTTTCCGGCGAACCGGCAGGCGGCAACCGGTGGCCGGCGGCGGCGGACTGGTGACGGCAGCTGGTGGTTCGTTTTTGCCTTGATGATCAAGCAGTACAAGATCAACCAGGATTCTACTGCTTAAAGGAGTTCCAATTGAACAGGGAAAAGAACTGTCACAGTTTCCTTGTTTAAGGAGACTCAATATTTAATGGCCATAATAGTGGATTTATTTATTTATTTAATTAAATTTATTATGCCATTAAATTATTATTTATGCATGTTAATTAATTATGTTTTTGCATGGAATTAATTTAGTATTGCAAGATTAATTATGCATGTTAATTAATTATGTAATGCATAGGATTAATTTAGAATTGTGTCAATAAATTATGCATGTAATTAATTATGTTCTGGCATGGATTAATTTAGGATTGCATAATTTATTGAACATGTTAATTAATTATTGCATTGACATAGATTAATTTAGAATTGCATGAATTAATATGCATGTTAATTAATTATTGCATTAACATAGATTAATTTGGAATTGTATAAAGAGTTAAAAAAATCCTCATTAAATGATACTAAGTTTGAGAAGGGATTTTAAATTAAAGTTAATTGTAAAATTCCTAAGGCCTTCATTTCTAATTTGTCGGTAAATCAATTAATTGCGGTTATGGGCTCCCCCTCAGGTGACATTGCTAAAATTAATTGTAGGAAATTACCAGGACAAATTTCTAAACGTAGACGGTTAGAGGAATCTTATGAGAGCGTACGGGCTTCCCCTCGGATGACGTATAATCAAATTTGACGACCTTAGGACCGAGAAATGGGATTCACTTAGAATGCGATTAAATTTATTAACCCCCCTCGGGGTCCCTGAATTCTATTGCATGGCCAAATGGAGACCGACTATTAATTTCGTTCGTCATGAATTTGGTTTTGACTTATGGAAATTAATGGGCCTTAGAAAAGCCCTTCTCTTACAAAATGCGAGTTTGTAGGGCGACCCTCGTAGCATGCATTCTCACAAGGTGTAATAGATGTCGGTGGATTTAAGTTAATGTTGTTTTGAGGATATCAATATTAACAGTTAAATTCAAAAGTGTTTAATCT